ATTAGATTATTTACAAAACAAAATTCTAAATAATTCTTGTCCTTTACAGCAACATAACCGCGATAATTCTAAATTTTGTATAAGTAGTCATCAGCTTCTGATTGATTGAAGTACATACAAATGGAATAAACTACTTTCGAAGTTAATCATAAGTGTTCGACCATTTAAAAATTAAAATATTACTTTTTCCTGGTCCTATTACTTTTTAACGCTAATAAAGTAATAAAAATATAATTCCAAAATTAAGTAATTACAACTTTTTATTATTAGATCAAAATGGTCTATTTGTATTAATTAAATATTAAACACATATTTATTTTTTAGCTAAGCTGATAGCTTTAAACGTCAAAACACACTTGCGACTCTTCAGCCTCTTAATTCTTACTAGATTCACTCATTTTTAAATATAAAAAATAAACATTTACTCTTTAAATAAACAAATAAATTGCACATATTTTGCAGGAATAATATTTTTCTGTTTTGCCGTCGGCGTGTTTATAAAATGTCTTTCCTTCAAACAAAACTCATACAAAATGCGCAAGAAAGTCAAAAGGAACTTAAAAGGCAGTAAATAAGTAATGACACCGATGAACTTGAAAGCTTTTATCGACCTTTAATTGTTTTTCAAAGGAAAAGATGAATAATGGCCGCGCGAATCAATTTGCAAAAAACCCCAAAAAAGGGAGGAACACACACACAAGCACACACAGAGGCACACAAACACACCAGCAAGCAACAACAATAGAGAGCAATGGAACGGAAAGGCGGCCATGATTTGCCGTCGGCGATTTCCAAAAATCCTCGATTTCAACCATTGCGGAGCGGAGTTCAAAGTGAAGAGTGAAGAATTCGAGTGGCGGATGCCAAATGGCAGAACCAGAGAGCAATCGAAACTGAGGCCAAGAGAGCGTGGCAACCCTCTTATTAAATAAGGAAGAGAATCCTCTCTTGTCCTGTTTTTCTCTTAAGAACAGCGCACAGCTGTTGCAGCAGTTTGGCGCCAAAAATATAGCCCCTCTCACTGGAAGTTAAGAGATAGCAAAAGCACCGACTGGAATTGCCTTTGCCTTCCAGTCAGGAATAATATTTTGCATTTGCCTCTGTTTTTGCCCCCTTCCTTTGTTTTTTCCCTATTTTTAATCGAAATTTAATTCCATTGCCAAATTGAACGATACCGATTACTGCCCTCGGCTGACTCGCATATTGATCGAGTTTATTAAGCTGATATTAACATAAATTCTCCGCTGCCGTATTTGTGGCACGCAACATAAAACTTTTGATCATTTAAGGCAACCGACAAGAATTAGATTTGGCTTTGTATTTTTGTCTTTAGCCCATTCGCACGTTTGACCCCCTTCAAGGTAATCGCTTTTGGCCAAACAATAGTAACGGGGTTGGGCCAACAGTCCAATTATTTTCGCAACACTGTAAAAAATGTATGGGTTTTAAATAAACGAAATAATACCCCAAAAAAACAAAGAATTGGTTGGATATTTTTAAGTTTAATATAAAATCTCTGTTTATAAATTCCAGACTTAGCTTTGCGTTAGTATTATTTTTAGCAACGTCCTTTTAAATTCAGAATATTAAAAAAACAGTTTTTGAGAAATTGTACCTTTGTTAAGTGTAACAACAAATAATTATTATCCTAAAAGGTTTTTAACATTTAAAGTTAAAAACTACCCCTTTTATAGATTTCGTATACTTTAGATTTCAATTTCAATTTTTATAAATCTTTAAATTGAAAACAAAATTATAAAATATTAACCATGACTGGATGTATACATAAATACTTAATACAAAAATATTTTAACAAACCAACAATTTTCCAAATATTATTGCTATAAACTACCTAGAATCACCCTTAAAACCATGCCAAATCAAAACCAATCCGAGAAACCTCTCAGCCCGAAATCCATAACGAAGACCTTCGCATTCCTACGCATCCGCTCCAGTATCTCAGTTTCTGTTGGTGTTTCTGTCCCCTGTCAGTTGGTTAAGATATCGGTATATGTGCATATGTATATAGCCCCAGTCCCGTATCGATTTCCAATTGGAAGTCCCAACTCGCACGGCTGGCGAAACAGAAACAGAAAATAATTAAGTTCTCAAAAGATAAAAATCATGTTAGCCGCAGATCAATTAGTTGATTTTTACCATAACCCGGGCATATATCAATTTTTGCTCTGCAGCTCCACAGCCTCTTCTTCTTCTACGACTACGTGTTGTGCCCGAGGTGACGCCCCCACCGCCTCCACCCGCCGCCCACCTCACCGCCCCCTCTCCCAGGAAAAAAGTGGTCCGCTTAGTGCATAAATTTACATATGAGAATGTCTGGAAATGCTTTTTGAAGGCTGTTGAAATGTTGCTACAGCGGGGGTTCAGTGGGTTAAGGGGGTTAGGTGGCGGGGGAGGGTGTTGGAGGTTTCTCCTTGGATGTAGCACCTGCTTTTTGGCCTGGAGCAAGACACTCGGCTGGCCAAGAAGGAGTCTCGAATGGAGCCTGATACTGGACATGCACATGCTCGGACGTCAGTAACTCATTTATCGCTTAACTGGAGTTGCCCCTCCGAACGCCTTTTAACCAGGCCCAGCTGTGCACAGAAAAAAATAAAGAATCTCCTAATAAACGTTATACCACTTCAAGGACCAACCATTTTATAGTTCTTATCTACCATAAATATCAAAACAACTTCAATAGAGAGCAAGTTCACACTTATTTTCAAGCTATTTTCAAGAGCATGGTCACACTTTTTTTAAATTTCTAATAACTGTAATTACATATTAAATACAAAATAGTAGTAAACATTTAAGTCGATATTTTTTCCCTGTGTGCTATCAGTTTCTGTTTCGATTTCACTGCTCTTATTTTATTTTCTTTTGACAACGAATTTGCATGCGCTGGAAATTGTGTTTTGAGGCTTGTTAATTTTGACTAAAGTCGCTGCAGTTACGTGCTGCGTTCGGTTCTGTTCCCAATCCAAATCCCAGATCCCAGCTCGCAGCTCCCAGAGTCGCGGCCCATTGCGTGACTGACCCAACCTGAGAGACTTACGCATGCGCGCGCTTACAAACGCCAAACGGAGTTTCACAAAAAAAGACAGCAGCGGAAAAAAATAAACTGGCAGAAACAGCGAGCAAAAAACGACTGGTAAGGAAAAACAAGTAAAATGTGAAACAAGAACCAAAACAAAGTGTTCGATGTTTCCGTTTCAAATTCTGTGGAAGAAGACATTTGCCAAGGCCCCAAAGTCTCGGGTCCGTTCCATTGTGGGACCAAAACCGAACCCGAACCCAAACCCAAAACCAGTGAGATGGGACAGTGGGACCTCGGGACGGAGACAATTGGCGCGCAAACAATTGTTCGGTTCGTTCTTTGGTTTGCTTTGGTCTCTGCTCGTTGGACATACGAAAAAGTAAGAACAAGTTCGGTATTTTGCTTTAAAGCACTGCTAAACTGGGAAGAACGGCTAGCCAGTGGAATTGGTCTAAACAGTGGGTTGAGTTGGAGAAACTAGTGATAGAACTTAAATATTATTTAATTATTTGTAAATCAATAAATCTATTTATTTAAAAGCAGGCACAGACAAGGAGCTATAGCCTTAAAAATCTTAAATTTTCTACAAGATCATTAACTTTCCTAATTTCCAAAGCTGCCGTTCTAAATCGAAATGTTTCATCCCTATTCCCCTGTATTTAACTGCAAATTTTTTTTATAGAAGCTATTTTTAATTTCATTGAAGAGTTAATTAAAAACATGTAACTTTGGAAAACCTTTTTCATGCTTAATTGTTAGAACCGATTGACAAAATACAAGACGTAGTATAAATAAATAGGTAGGAAGAGCATTGAAAATAGTTTAAAATATCTTTGAATTTATTAAAAGTGTCTAAACATAGCTATCAACTCAGGGGCAGACATTTAAAAATTGTAAAATATTTTTAGTTCTATGAACAAGGGATGCTTTCTTCCTAATGCTACCAAAAATTGTAAATTGAACCAAAACATTAATTTTAGTTCAAATTATATCCATAGAATTCCTAGCCACGCCCACTGTACCCATCCCGATGCTCAGCCAACTGGGCGATTGTGGCGCAGATAAAAGAAAGGCACTTGAGCATTACATCGGCGAAGGCAGGCAGAGTATTCTCTGCAAGCCAAGATTTCTTTTTAAGCCGAGTCCAGCAGAACAGCAAAAGGGAAAAAATCGGCGGAAAAAGTGCAAGGGAATTAACAATTCATTTTATTGTTAAGTATGCGGTCTGGCGGGCCCACAAATGGGGAGTTCGGGGAGTCCCGGCCTCTCTTTTAGACCATCTTGTTAGCCCTGTCTGCGGATTCTGCGCTGCTTCGCTTTTCGCCAGCCGGAGCATCCTTCCTCATAGTTAATAATGCGATAATTTCATTTTCATTCAAAGCAAATCGAAGGCAGCAACAACAAAGGGGCAAGAAAAGCAACAGCTACCGGATTACGGGCCATAAAAAAGAAATAAAACAGAAAAAAGAAAAGGAGGGAGGTTGTTGCTGGGCTTCTTGGCGTGTTGCGGCAACATGTTGCCCAGGTTTTTTCCCTCGTTTTTTATTTCGGGGATGGAGAAAAAACCTGATGCATGCGCAAAATTTAAATTATGTTGTTTTGTCGCATGTTTCTCTCTTCTTCTTCTGGCTGCGCTTTGTCGTTGTTAGTCTTTTTTTTAGTTCTTAAAGCATTATCAATGAATAAATGAAAATGTCTTTTGTCCAGGGAAATTGTTGTTGCCGCAGATGTTGGCATGCAACTTGCAGAACGCTTAACATCTTCCTTAAGTCGCTGTTTTGTGTCACAGCCAACTGTCATTTGTACATTGAATTGCGGCCTCGTTCTCTTCTGTTTTCCTCGTTGCCCGGCGATATGTTCGATTTGCATAAAATCACAGGAAGCACTTAGGATTAATAGCGAGCGCCCGAGTGTCGCGGGTTAAACATTTGTGTAGCGAAAATTGATTCAATTTGGGGCCTACCTTTTTCGACGAATGCGCAGCTAAATCCTCGTAATCCATGTAAGTAATCCGCGATTGTTGTCCATTTACAGCTGGGTTAATCCAAAATTGCACTGCAAAGGAGGGAAAAAGCCATTTAAATTGTTGTTCAAATTGTTTCCCAGGAATATTAACGCCTTGCGTTTTGGCTGGCGCCATCCGTTGGCGGGTGGCTGAAGCTCACATGTAAAATTGTGAGTTGTGGGAAAATATGTGAACTGTTTATACAAATACGTGTTTATTATATTTAAATTGTAAAAAAAAAAATTAAAAAATATAAAATGTTATGTTATTACTTTAATTGTCAGCTTAGTAAAGGTATACACTTTTATGAAAATACCTTTTAGAACACATTTCCGTGATTGAAAATATCCCAAGAGATTGTATGACAAAACAATAATATAAGAAATTATGCTATTTTTATGTATATTACAACAAGTGATTTTTATTTAGGCATGTTGTAATTACATTACTAAATTTTATTTATTCTTTTTTTTAAAGGGTTTTTGGTATTTCTATAGACTGGCATACATATCGTATGAGTAATTCAAATGGAATCTTTTCAAAAAACGAACGATTTATATTGTGCTCGGTCATAAATACTTTAAGAATGAATTGGTGTATTTAAGAAGCAAACTAGAATTTGTGGGTATACTTTTGTGAATTATCTATCCCACAGCAATTATTACGAGCAACAACTCAAAGACAAAAGTTTCTTACGTTCCATGGCCATTTTTTGACATTTTCCCACCTTTTAATGTCACCAAGTCGGCTCGCATACGGAACCCAGAAAAAAGGAACGATCGGCAGCAAAAAGATCACTAACAGCCAAAGTGCCAAAGTACCCAGAAGAACAAGGAAGCTGGCCATGGCCAAAAGAGCCAAAGACCAAGTGGCAGACTGTCAGGTTCAGTTTCAGTTAAAGTTTAAGTTTGGGTTCCAGGTTCACAGACTCACAGATTCAGGCTCGACTCCGAGGCTGCTGTCATATCCTTTTGCGGTAAGCGACTGTGAAAAGGGGGGAAAAGGGGAGCAGCGGATATTTGAGCCCGCTTCTCATTCATTTGCGCCAAATGTCATTATTGTTGCTCGTTTGTTGTTGCCCCTTTTGTGGCCGCTGCTGCCTCTTTTTGTGGCATCTTCGGGTCTTTTGTAAAACTCCCTCGTTAAACAGATTATTTTCACACCCGACTTCGGTTCCTGGCTGCTGCCAATTTGGTAAGTGAATTGAATGGAGTGGCCCAGAGTCTGCACTGCAGTTCACTCCTTGCAGGCGTTAATAATGCGATTTCAATGCAGTTGGTTCCACTGGGAATATTTTTGCATATTTAATATTAGCTTTGACGCAAAAAATAATTGAATTTATTAAAAAAGAAAATAAGAATTTACCCTTTATTAACAAATCAATCAAATGGGAAAGCAGTGGCATTGGTAAAAAATATAGTTAAGTTAAATTTAACCAAATAAAATATTTTAAATACATGAACTTAAATATTAAATTTCGACTTAAATATAATTAGAATATTTACATTTTTTATGAATAACTTTTTTGTCTATAACAAAAAGAATTCACTTTTTGAGCAGTGTGGACAAAATTCAAAGACCCTCAAAGTGCGAAATGTTTTCCTTTTTATATTTATTTAGGGAGACCTTATGAAAGCGACAGAAGGAGTGACACATGTATGCACCTGGTTTAGAAGGTTGCGGTTCCAACAATGGGCAGGCTTCGATTTGGCTTTGAATCCGCTGATTGTTAATTGCGCGAGGTATGAAAAGAATTACCAGAGCTTTAGATGTCAGTTTTTGTTTTGCAAGTCAAGATTTAGGCATTGATGGTAAAGATTAGATATACAATTATTATTTCTTACTCATAGTTCATGGTTTATTTTTTACTAACTATTTACCTGAATAAATAGACTCCCCATTTGAATATTCAAATATTTTCTTTACAGCTCTGCTATTTGGTTATTTATTTATTTGTTTACATACTGCTTGCTTAAAATTAAAAAGTAAAGGGACACAAGGATAGGCAGCCGTAGCTACTTAGCCATTCGGTTAATTCACAACATTTATCTCGAGAAAGCCAATGATATAGCTGCTCTCAATCAAAATAATCATCGCTGAAGAAAGTGAAGGCTTCGAAATTTCATTGGGGTTCCCGTTCCCTCCCAAATCATTTCGCACCCAAGACTCGAAGGTATTTCGCTTGAAATTATTTTTGCGGACACGCTCCGCCGCACGTAGACCCGCGAAAAAAACGAAGAAGCAAATAAGCCCTTGGAATTCAAAAACATTTTATGGCATTAGAGGGGGAAGAGACCACCTAGGCGTAACTGTGGCCAAATTCATATGCATAATTTTTGCGCTATTTGCGCCGTTTGTTGTGATCGCGAAAATATTTTTGCGCTCGCTGCGTAATTGTTGAAAGTCAGGCAAGGCAGGGCCAGCATACCGAGGGATAAAGCTACTGGGGGGCTCGAGGGACTGACACGTGAATGACAGATCAGACATACAGCTCACGCCCAACATCAGAAAACATCCATAAATATTTTTGTCATTTAGCCCCCGGCAGCGGCACTCGATGCGATTTATGGCCGGGTCGTAAAAAAACCGTAAAAAGCCTTCCACCGAACCGAGAAAATCGTGAAATTAAACAGCGAAAATAGTTTTTTAGCCGCTTAAGTCGTCGATTGTGATCGAAATATTTAATTAATTGGTCGAACCCCTCGATAGATCGATGGATCGCTGGAATTATTCGTGGGTGGGCCACCCGTCCCCAAATCGGTGTGCGTTCGTTTGATTTATGCAGACAACGCGGACACATTAAGCGGCATTTGAATGCGCAGTCGCCGATGCCCAAATCCAAATTTTGCACTTGTCACTAAAAAAATTTGGCGTAACGAGGATTGCAGTCGCTACACTCAGAAAAAAAAACAGTCAGCAAATACTTTGTCGAAAGAAGAGCTTTTAAAAAGTACAGGAAGTGAATTTCCTCATCTATTACAGACTCATATGGATTGTGATAATTATTGTTTCAAAGCTTTGAAGTTTACAACGAAATAACTGGAATGGCCCCACTGTATGTAAATATATTTGACATCTGATGCCCGCAGGAAGTGTAAGCGCCATCCGACGGTCGGTGGCTGAACTGTGCTGAAAGCTCAGGATGAAGGATATTTTTTGAAGGTTGTTGTCCAGACTAAAGGATAATAAAGGGAAAGCAAGAGGAGCGATGTCCCGGCTAAAGGATAACTAGGAAAATTTAAAACAGAAAAGTGGGAAATGCGTGAAAAAAACGCCACCTATTGGTCCTTGAGGGTTTTTAAAGTTTACATTTTTTTCAAAAATTTTTAAAGAATCAGGCGTTGCCACTGGCAAAATAAAAATATCCGTGCTGCCAGACCGAAAAAATGCTGATTTTCTAACAGAAATGTTAATTACATCTTAACATTTCATTCGTTTTCTAACAGTGGCAGCTTTCTTAATTCTGTCAAGGATATTCCACTGCCTAAGAAGATAACCCTATAATTAATTTAATGAACAGGATTATTTAAAAATCTTTTTAGTGTTAATGCTAACAAACCTAAATAATTGTATATTATAGAAATTAGATTTATTTGTTATTAAAAAATGCAATAAATTAATATCTTTAAAAAATGATAGCATCGAAAACATATGTTTTATCCAAATAAATCTTCCTTTCAAACCACGATTGCGTATTCTACGGAAGCCTTTATTTTTCACCCTCATTTTTGCCCCACTCATTTCTCCTGAACAGCAATGTTAAGCAATTAAATAATAATAAATAAAAAATGGTAAAAAGCGCAATCAAAATTCAAAGCGAACAAGTTGTCTTGGGCATGTCACTTAACCATCATCGTCATGCAAGTCAACAGATTTCTGGATAATAAAATATAAAAGAAAAAATTACTAAAGATGTACGAAAGTTTGTAAATAATATGTAGACAAAAGACGAACATAACCATATTAAAAAGACCACACACAGCCACTAGACTCAGACTCATTGACGGCAAGAAATATAAAAAACATATAAAAAACAACAGGCCAAAACGTAAGGCAATAAAAAGTAAAGTTCCTTTTAATTTTATGACAGAGCCGACACTTAATAAACAATAATCATCATCTCAAGGGGAGATGATCTTGATCTTCAAGTGGGACTTACTCCTCGACTCCACTACGTATTTATATTTATATTTTCCATATTTATAGCTTCTTTTTTTAGCAAAAATAACCAGTGAGTCCCAGGCGTTCATCCCGTGTTTTTTTGCTGTCGGTCTTGTGGCAACGAGATTTGCATTTTGATGAATTGCAGGCGAAAGATGGAGAACTGAGTTTGAAGTAACCTGTAAGTCATTTTCGTGACACTATCTGAAATGCCGGTGGGGGACAAAGTGCCAGAGCAGCTCATGTACTATTCTTTTTTTTTGAGCTTCTGGTCTCTTGTGTGACTTGAAATTTAAATTAACCTTTTGGTTTTTGGACTTTTTTCCTCCTCAGCTGGGGTAATTATTTTTTCATTTTGCGAAAAAAGACCGAGTTAGCTTTGGCTGGATGTGAGTTATTGTGCAAATTAAAATGAACGATGTGTCGGTAAGGTCGCCTTTTGTTGTCGTAGCGCCAACGATAAAGTCCCCCTGCGGACCCTGAACCTGAACCGCAAGTACGATGTTTCTGGCATTTTTTCTATATTTTTTCCGTCGTGTTTCTATATCTTGTTTGGCTGTCTAGCGCGTACATGATGTGACTATGATTCGTGTTGTTCGCTCCACGCCATGAATTTGCCCTGTCCATGGCGGTCGAGGCGATAAGAATCTCTCCCGAGTTCCCAGTTCGGAGCGGTCCAGATGAAAAGCTTGCCCCGGCGAAATATTGACTAAATGCCGGCGGAGAAGGAGGACCGTCCGACCTGACAGCGGTAAGTGATTAACTTTTTACATGACTCCGTCTTCACGGTCAGCACTTTCTGATTCAATCTAAATTCATAAGACAAAAGCGGCAATTTCGGCGGGTTTTTTCTGGTTAGTGACTCAGTTTAGAGAGTGCCGTTATGTGG